TTTTGGTTTTTCAATTGGCATTGCATTGAATGTATATAGCAGTTTTGGTAGTATGGCCATTTTCACTATGTTGATTCTTCCTACCCAGGAGCAGGGGATATCTTTCCATTTTTTTATATCCTCTTCAATTTCTTTTTTGAGTGCTGTATGTATCCAGATACTCTACTGAATCTGTCAATTAAGTCTAGAAGTTTTAATAGTATATAAAATAATATATCAAATTAATAGCACCTTAAATTCAATTAAGTATAACTTTAATCCCTTTTATTTTATTTTTCTATTTGTTTTTCTGCCATATTATTGAAGATTAACACTTTGCCCCTTAATAGTCATTCAGCAAATATTGTAGTACTAAGAATAAGAACAAACAGATGCTGTCTGGTTTCTCTTATTACTTTTGTATTACTATAACAAATTACCAGAAATTTACTTTCTTCATACAGTGCAAATTTGTTTGATAGTTCTGCATAGATTTGAAAGAGATTTTGCTGAGTTCAAGGCAATGGTGGATCTGTTTGCTATCTGTGGGCCCAGAGCAGAAACCAGTTTCTTTCCTTTTTACATCTTTTAAAGGCTGCCTATATTCTTTGGCTCTGATCCCATATCACTGTCTTCAAAGCCAGCAGTTCGGAATTTCAAGTTTCTCTCTTGACTCTTCTGACTTCCCTTTTCATTACAAGGCCCTTTGTGGTGATTACTTTGCACCCACCTGGATAATCCAGGATAATCTTCCCATCTCAAGGTTTTACTTAATCACATCGGTCAAGTCTCTCTTACGATGTATTGTAACATTTTCACAGGTTGTGGGGATTAGGATATGAATGTCTTTAAGGAACAACTTTTCTGCTTACTACAGTCTCTATATTTATGAAGTTTATACTCTAGATGATCAAATAGACAGTCATACAGTATCTGCAAAGAGTACTCAGACAAAATTAAAGAAGTAGGAGAACAAAGAAATAACTGAGTCACAGCAGCTAAGAATGCTGTGAGGATGGGACAGTTCCTGCTGGGCTTTACAATAAACAACACTAGTCATGCTAGCAAGAGAAGTCTCAACCTAATAGAGCAATGCAGTGGAAATCCATATTGAAGTAAATTAAAAATTAAAAATGTACAGATTGTGATTGTAGGCAGCTCTTTCAAAACAGATGGCCATTCTTCATGGTCTCCCTGTGTAAGTTTGTCATAAATCTCTAACAGAAGTGCTTGACAGCTTTTTTATTTTTTTAATTAAAGAGATGTGTAATTGTTCCTGATAACTCACAGAAGTATCTGTATGTCTTAGCCTTTTACTCAAGGCCTTTCATCACAGAAGTATAACCTATTTTCCCCCAAATAGCTTCCATTATTCTCCTTATAAATCTGTGTGCTTCAACTAGGCTGGTCCTATTCTTCCTATTTTTCTCTGTCTCTGCCAGTGCTGCTTTTCCATTTTGGAATGGGTTTTTTCCATTTCTCTCTCTTGCTTTCCCATCTCAACCCACACAACCCTAGCTCTCTTGGAATTGTGTTATAAGAAAAAAATCACCTGATTTTCACTAAATTTTATGACTATACATGTATTTTGAAAGAATTCAGACTAACAGGAAATACAAATTAAATAGGTAGTATACTAATATAGGCTTTTGTAGCAAGAAAAAGCTGATTTTTTTTCCAAAGATTTTTCTCAATACTATTTAAATCATACCATATGAACAACAATTGTAAAATTAGAGCTGTTTCATAATTTCAGAAGTTTTCGATTTAGCTTTAGTGGAAAGAAAAAAAAATCTTGATATATTTTTGTAATGTGACTAATTTTTCAAGGGTACCAATAAACTATATAGTTACTTAAACTGATTTTGATTTTCTTTTACTTTTGAAGGTCCAAGGGATGTCCTTCATTGCAGCAGTACTCATTCTCAATTTGGAAGAAGCAGATGCCTTCATTGCATTTGCAAATCTCCTTAATAAGCCATGCCAATTGGCCTTTTTTCGTGTGGATCACAGCATGGTATGAACATTTGGAGTGGATTATGTTTTTTATGCTTCTGTTTTGAGTGGCCCTTAAGAGTAAAAACAAAGCTATGCATGGTGGCACATGCCTGTAATCCCAGCACTTGGGAGGCTATGGCAGGAGGATCACCATGAGTTTGAAGGCAGGCTGGGCTAATAGTTCAAGGTTAGTCTGAACAATAAAGCAAAACCATTTCAAAAAATAAAAAAAAAAAACAGGGCTAGGGATTTAGCTTGGTGATTCTACTGCCTGCCTTGCAAGTGCGAGGACCCAAGTTGGATCTCTGGTACCAAAAAAAAAAAAAAAAAA